GCTTACACCAATAATCGTAAAGATTATGGGCAGGTGAGATGTTAGAACTTTTCTTGTGAGTGGGTTTTGAAACTTGGTTGCTATGGATGCATCCTAGCTTAATAGTAATTGTTTACATTTCTTCTTAGTACCAATTGTATAGCTGCTAAAAAAAAGTGAACATATTCTTGCATAATTTGTAGAAATAGTGTGTGAAGTATCTCTGATTGAAGTATCTCGGACATGTTACACGACGTAGATACGATACGACATTGACATTGACACGCCGACACATTAATGTTTTTTAAAAAAAATGCAGGACACACTATGCCTTGGATATGTTACAAATTTATATTTTTATAAATTTATTATATATGAAATATATGAATAGTTTATTCAAAGGTAATGAAAAAACAGCATAACACTAATTAAATTTAAAAGCCATATATCCCACAACTTAAAACATTAAAATTTCATTCACGTAATAATTACAATCTAAAGAATGTCAAAAAATTGTAGAATATAGAAACACACATGATGTATTCATCTTATAAATGCTTTAAAACATATTAAAGTAAATAATACAAAACATTGCTACTATGAAAAGATTCATCACATAGTTGTGTACGGAGGGTTCAAGAAGCGTCGCCGAAGTGTCTATAAAGTGTTTGATATTAGGAATTAATATATTTAATTTAGACACGTTGAAGAAAATGTCTGACACGCTTGGGTAATACTATTATTGAGAGACCTTTATTTGTATGACATTTGAGATGGGCAAAATATTGATATGCATTGTTGGTGGTACAAGGGAAGCTAGAACATGGTGTCTGGCCCAGTAGTAAAATAAGGATCACATTTCTCTCCTCTCTGGGTTCAATTTCCCACAAATAGCGACATGTCTTCCTACAGAACTAACATACTAACTAACTATACCTAATGCTCTCCTTTGAACTTGAGAAAAGTAAGAACCTTTGATCTGTATTGTTAAAACACGTAGTTCAGATGAATTAATTGAAACAAGGATCAATAAATTAAAATGGATGACTTTGGGAAACCAAATAGTTTTCAAATGGTACTTAGTCATTTATGATGGTTTGGTCTTTGTATATTGGTTATTTTTGGCTTCAGTTAAATTGATTAATTTACAAGGGCAATGAGAAAAGTTGAAAAGGATGCCATTTGAGATGTTAATTCAATATTATAGAAATGCGATAGTTATCAGCATAGTTATTTCAAAAAAGGATTTTCTTTGATATTGAAATTATACAACCAAGGGCGGGCCTTGGTGCAATGGAAAACTTGCTCTGTTGCGACCTGTGTATCACATGTTTGAAAAATGGAAACATCCTTTCCACATATGAGGGTAAGGCTCTATACATCTCACAGTTACCAAAACCCGCAGTGGTTTGGCTACTATATACAGAGTGTGCTGGATTATATCACATGCCAATCTTCTACTTAATCATTGTTGAGTAAACCTCTTAATTTCCTTTTAAAGAGCAAGTAAATGTTGAAGTACTATAGATGGTTGCTGCTTCTGAAAATTTTATAGAGTTTACTATGTTGAAGTATTAAAACTGTGTTTTGAAATTTTTTTGCTTGATCTTTAGAGGCGTGCTAGTGCATCTGTGCATTTTGTGTATTCTTTCCTTGGCCATTTGAATCTCATGTAGAGATGCCATTAGCAGATATTTGAAAACAGATTAGAATTTGATTTTTCTTCCATTTTGCAGGTCAGGCCTCTGGTGCCAATCCTTGCTCAATGCTATTTTCAGGAGAAGCTTCCAATTACCTTGTCATATCTCCAGGCTTCTGTTTTACTGTGCATGGGCTTGCAGATCCAGGATATAACGGATATTAAGGTCTGAACATGGTGAAAATTAGGCAAATTCTTCTTTTAATTGCTTTATAAAATTTGATTGCAATATTTAAACTCAAGTAATTCTTTAATACTCGGGCAAAACCGAGAAATATACCTAATTGATGATAGGATGTTTCTAAATTTGGGAGACGCTAACATTAGCATCAAGATTTTGGCTATAAGAGTTGTCAATGATAGGTGTCATTAGTGAACTGCAGACTGCAGAGTTTCGTGGGTATCTTTGCTATTTTCAGGAGAAGCTTCCAATTACCTTGTCATATCTCCAGGCTTCTGTTTTACTGTGCATGGGCTTGCAGATCCAGGATATAACGGATATTAAGGTCTGAACATGGTGAAAATTAGGCAAATTCTTCTTTTAATTGCTTTATAAAATTTGATTGCAATATTTAAACTCAAGTAATTCTTTAATACTCGGGCAAAACCGAGAAATATACCTAATTGATGATAGGATGTTTCTAAATTTGGGAGTCGCTAACATTAGCATCAAGATTTTGGCTATAAGAGTTGTCGATGATAGGTGTCATTAGTGAACTGCAGACTGCAGAGTTTCGTGGGTATCTTATTTTAATTTTCCAATGTTATTTGTGCAACTTATCTCTCTAATTATGTTGTGATAATAGTGGTGGTGTTTAATGATGAGCCATTCAACCGATGTGGAAGGTTTCACAATTTCGTTAATATTAATTAAATTAGTATTAGCCAACAACAATATCATTTACTACAAAGGAAAAAATTAAAGGACGTTTGGTGTGCTAGTGGCCAGATCTTGTAGGATGAGAGTTCTTGTCAATCAACAACAACAAAAAAAAATGTTTTTCTTTTTGTTCATGCCTTTTATAGGACTACTTTTACCTTAACAATAATAATAATAAATAAATAAATAAAAGGAAAAAATGAGGGTAAGGCCGCCCCTACTACCTCTCCCAACCTTGCTGTAAGCAGACCTTTTTATCTTTTTTATTTTTATAAATATGATGTGTAAAGGGAATGTTCAAATCTTTGGGAGCACATGACGCTGTTTTTGCTGAGAACATGGTTGTGCCCCTGTTTTTTCTGAGAATTTGATGCTGCATTAATTTTGTTGGATTGAACTGCATACATATATTGTTACATTAGGGTGTGAATGCTTTTTCTTTCTTTGGCTCTTTTAGTTGGGACAAGGCTGAGCTTAGTTTACATTTTTTTTGTTTTGTTTTTTTCTTTCCTTTTTTGGTTGACCTTAAGTTGAAGTTCAATTGCTTTCATTACATAACAGGGAATGATGAAGATAGAAAGGGAGCAAGTATTGTCATTGTTCCGGAAAATTATGATAAAAATCTACAAGCATTTATATGATGTTCTAACCAAAAATTTTGTCTCAAGTTTCCCTCAAGAAAGGGAGGTAAGCAAGTATTAATTTATGGTATTATGAAATCCCAATGCTTTGATTAAAACCAACTATGGTGTGCCTCTTAAAGTTTGTGAGATGTGACTTTAAAAAACTGCTTTTTACATTGTCTTATGGGAGCTTCATGTAATTTTTACACGCTTGTAGAAGCTTTCTTTCTGCTAGGTTGGTTCATCACTATTTCACATACTCTTTCTTTGGATTTTACAATTAGGTTTCATTGATGCCTCATAGCATATCAGTGGAGGATGATCTAGATGATGGTGCGAAGCAAGTAATGGTGAGTCATGTTTTGTAAAACAAACTTGGTGGTGGCATATGCTCAGACTAATCATATAATATACACTTGACATTCAGGAAAAGATGAAAGTTGATAATGCGGGGCTGTTAAAATTGGAGTCGCTGCAACAATATTGTATTGCAGATCGGGAAGCAGGATTCGAACAAACTCTTCGAACTTGCATGACGATATCTCCCAGCGGCCTTATAAGTGTGAAGTCCAACAGTAGTAAAAAGGAGAAAGTTGGTAAAAACAGCAAAACTGCTGAAAGTAAAAAGAGGAAAAGGAAAAGCAATCTATGAATCACATCCAATCAAAGAAGTTACAGTTTGAGTACTTCAATATTTAATAGATTATTATTAAATATATACTATCTATACTATTATATGAAGTGTATAGGTGATTTGGTATGAACACATGTTGTCTCATTTTTTTTTTCTATTCCTATATTATTCAAATTTTGTAATTTCTTATATTTTAACAGCACAGTAATTATGGAGTGTGCATACCTAGTTATTATTTGTGTATATAAATGCACATGATATTTAAGTGAGTGAGGTTTCATTCCGGCTCACACAAGTTGCATTTGCTTCAATTGAAGAAGAGACATTTGGGGCATAGGCTCACTTGTGGTTGAACTTAACGAGCCTTGAGCTAGTGTTTGGTTTGCAAAAATTTTAAGCAGCGATGAAACGAATATTCTTTGGCTAGCTATGGAATGGTCACTACTTAGATTGGTAAATAATGATTTTATTTGTAATATACATTTCATTTTTACTCAACCAAACATGAAAATGGTGAGAAAATTGCACCAAGGTGAACAATACACTAATCCATTGGTGGTTGAATGTGGTGGTCTTACATTTACCTTCCCCTAAAGAATCAATCAGATCGAAGTGTAATGTTCATACACTACAAAAGTGTGATCAAATTTACACTCCGAAGATTTAAAATTGAAAGAATTACAAATCAAAGTAGAAGAGCAAAAGTAATTACAAACTTTTCTATGCAAAGGAGTCACATTAGAAGTTGTACCCCAACCTTTTGGTAAATAATGTCCCTACTTCTTATGGTCTTGTAATTTCTCATCTAAAGTTTGCCTTTTGGACTTGGCAATCAAAAGGGCAATTCATCCAAAAGGGCAATTCTTAAGTGCGCAAATGCATACCATATGCACTTGTATAAATTCTCACAAATATATGTAAATTACTTTACAAAATTGTGCAAATTTTCACAAACATATGTAAGTTAATTCATAAAAATTTTAAAAATCACAACTTGTGTATATTTATCAGATCTTACGCAATTTTATGAAGTAACTTATGTATATTTATGAAAACTTATGTAAATGTATATGATATGCACCTTACACACCTAACACTTCCCTCAAAATAATACCATAAACCCATCACCCTTTTAAGGAAGCAAAAATAAATGGTGTCTGTAAAGGATTAAACCACAAGCATCAATTGATTTTGAAAAATGCCAGCATCCTTGCCAGCCGAATAGCGTAAATTGTTGGCACATTGTCATTTACATGTGATTTTGTAGCTGTTTCTATAATGATCTGCTTGCAGCTGCGATCTCAGAATCATACCAAACCAAATAGTTCTAACCAGAGTTAAAAAGCGCATATAGGCTGACATTTCAGAATGTCAAAACTTCAATAACAGTTGGATTTGAGATTCAGGAAGTACACAATAACAAGTCATTACAGAGTTCATTTCTTTCACCGGAAGATAAATCAAAAGTTTTTCATTGCGCCATTAAATGTATCCAGCTAAGAACAATGGCTAGTGATCAGTTGCATCTAGACTGAGCTACAGTATGGGATTAATCATAAGGAGATCGATCTCAATCTCTCCAACGATGGCCACAGTTGGGGTTGCAGCAAACGAAGAACAGTGTCATACCCTCTTCACCCCTTGCAGTCGCCTGCATATTTAGTACAACAAACAAAAGGGAAAGTTCAGAATCACAAACTATAATCCTCACTGATCAGGTACTTACAGAGAGGTTTGTAAGGAAACTTGATCATTTAATGGCTCACATTATATTGTTTCTAACAAACACTTGAAAAGAATTTCACAACACACTCATGATAAGGTTAATTTTCTACAAGTTTCTCAAATTCCTTATAAATGCATAATGAAAATAATAGCAAAAGATAAAGAGGAAAAGAAAGATGATTTTGCTAATCAATTCCACGTTTTCCAGACCCTAATTTTGTTGCAATGATAAAACAACCTCCACTTTTTCTTTTCTTTTTTAGTTTGGAAATAATTTTCTCACAATGGCATACAATTTGGGGAATTTTAAATATACATATATATATATATAAAATAAAATAAAAGAAAAACCATGAAGCTTAAATCAGTGAGCATAACAATAAGTAGAAACAAAGTGCACAAATAGAAATAGACATTGGCAGAACAACTATCAAAGTTAGAACTCAATGAGTTGAACTAAATCATGGGACTTCATTAGTTTAAGAAGTTGTACATTTAGGCCATGTTTGATTCACAACACTAATAGTGAGTTATTAATAATCCTATTAAATTAGTGTGGTATTAGTTATCCCACCCCTACCCCATTACTAATAATCCTACAAACTTGTTGGATTAATTATCCATTGGATTAATAATCCTAAACCAAAATGTCAAAACAAACATAGGATTATTGGGCCCACGGATTAATAATCCCAATCCTATGCTTTAATCCTTCCAATCAAACATACCCTTAATGTACTCCATAGATAGAGAGGCTAAGACCTCAAGAGAGTGAAACAGCTAAGAGCACCAGAGTATTTAGCATGTGCATGCAGTCCGCAGACGTTGTAGAAGACTTCAATAAAACTCAAAAAGCCAACTCTAAATTTTTGGGAATATTAGAACTTGACAAAAACTCATTTCTTCATATTATAAATTAACATTCGTTCAACATTCAGTTTTCTCAGACATAAAATTTAGATATTTTTGGGCGAGTAAACACTTCTCTAATAATGAAAACACAGAGACAAAGCCAAACCCGCTAAACTCCTCATAAAGAGGCATCCCAAGAGATCTAGCCAAGAAACAAATGACCAACCCCTCAGCCCGGGAGGCTAGGCCATACAAAAACAAACTGTTACAAGCTGAGAGGAAAAGGCAAAGAAGACAACAAATCAAAAACCAAGCAAGAGGCTACAAAAACTACTCCCCTACCAACCCAAAAGGATGTCACAATATTAACACCAACTATGAAATTTGCCATTGCACCAAACTATTTCTTTGAAGACTTCTTTGGTTTGATGACCTTTTTCCCTAGCAATCTATAGGGTTCTGTAGATCTTCTCTTCAAGTTTACTCTTGCTTAAATTTAAGAACTTTTCCAAGTAGATTTTATATTTAGACTGGTAATTCATCGTGCATCATCAAATCCAGTTTTCAGTTTCAAATTATACAAGCATGAACTATTGTAATTAATTCTGAAATGAAAACCATAGTTCTAGATTGCTAGAATTGTTTTGTTACTCTTTAAATCCTAGTTTGCTTGAAGGGGACTGAAACATTGAAATGCCTATCTCTTCAGGAACCCAGGCAGCAATTAATTTGAGCTATATTGACAAACTAAATAAGCAATATTGACAGTTTTTTGTTTAAATATAACTCATAATCACACCAACAAAAGTGACCTGGAAGAAAACTGCTTCTCCGTGACCGCATTGAGCACAGTGAACTGATTTTGTACGTGGAAGAGTCGGATCTGCAGCCACATCCTGCAAGACTTGGGTGCGCTCCCCCACAGCGTGGTGTATCTCATTTCTGTAGACACAATTGTTATCGGCAACCTCCTGTATAGTGATAAAGAAAGAAAATTTAAGGGGCCTAAAGGCACTAGAATTTTAACCCCTAATGAAGTAAGCTAAGAACATGCCAAGTGAAATCTTAATAAAATCAGAACATGATCTCACATGCCTAACCAAATATAATCCATGACAGATACTACAATACCAAAAAAAAAAAAAAAAACCCTCTATGATCTGAACATCAAAATCTTATTCAAAGACTTCTACAAAGTCCAAAAATTGGTTCAAGAATGGGTCAACCAATCCCTCCTCTCGAGCCATATAAGCCTGAAACAAATTTCAGCTCATATTATACATTTTACCTACACTGAGAAATGAAACAAAGATTTCATTGTTTCTATGAGGGGATGTTCTGTCTTACTCCCCCCACCAATCATTTCCAGTAGAATTCAACTTTTTTACATGAATACAGATGGACAAAGCTTATTGAGTGGGTGTTTTGGAAGTGGCTATTTTAGAGGCTTGTTGACTTTTTGGCTATTTTAATTGGCTATTTTAGTTTTTATGTTTGGGAAGATGGGACGGATATTTATTTGGGTTGGTGTGTTGAAATGATGTTTAAAGTTAAAATAACAAATTTGTCTCTAACTTCACGTTTTTCAAAATTAATTTAAAGGGGTAAAATTATAATTAACCAACCTGTCACAGTGACAGTCCTACACTGTCACTGTGACAGCCCACAGCCGGGCTATATATATATATATATATATATTTTTTTTTAAATCAATGGTCTAAAGGGGCTAAAAGGCTTTTTTTATTGTTGAGGCTAAAATAGTCACTACCCGCGCTTCCCAAACACCGCCTGAACCTAACACTTGAACTGACAAAGTGTTTACATCGCCATAGCAATCACAGTTCAAATGTCCCAATTTCAATCAGTGGTTCCACATTTTCCCCTTTCACATCTCAAAAGAAATCAACATATTTGCACTCCATAGATTTGTAGCATAACCCTTCTCCAGACAGAGTAACGAGTAATTATTCAATAATCTCGGAGCATGGACATGTGTATTTTGGTGGAGAAGTGGATAAGTTGGATATTGTGTTGGGTGATTGGAGAACATGAGAAGCATATTAAATGATGATTGGTTAGGGAGTATAGACACATTGTACTCCGGAAATATTGAATAATTTTCCCATTGTAACAGACATTTTGAAAGCAAAAGCACTTTCCAAGCTAACATAATACACATTACTCAAAACACACATTGTCAAAAACAAAACCCGTGAGAAAATTAGGGCTTTCTAAAAAGCCGAGCTCGGAATCAATGGAGCAAATGTGTTACACTTGATGAAACGTGTACTCACCCACAAAACCCTAACTTAGCCGTCTTTCTGTGTATATACATATATATATATATATATAGAGAGAGAGAGAGAGAGAGAGACCTGGTGATCGCAATTGCGGCAAGCGTAGAGGAGGATTTTCTGCTCCTTGTCTTCCTTAGGGTAGAGAATGTTGTTGCTGAGGGGAGAGCACAAGTGTAATACACATTAAGCACATATTTATAAGTCTACATTTACAATTAATTTATATGTTTAGGGTTTTCAGGGTTTAACATCCATGTTTAGGGTTTAGGGTTATGTAGAAGTGAACGAACATATATCTCTGTGAGTGCGAATGTGGAAAAATGGAGGATTGAAGGACTAACCATTCGCGGCAAAATTTCATGGTACTCATTTTGAAAATCTGAGATTGAGAGAAAGAGATGGAGACTTGGGTTCTCTTCTCTGCCTTTGTTCAAACCTCACTTGCTTTGCTTGTGCTTTTTCTTCTCTCTCTCTCTCTCTAATGGCGGTTCAAGTGCTTTTATAGACCGAATTTTTTAAATTTTTTTTATTGAGGATTAGTAGAGAGTTGAGTACAGATTTATGGTTCGTTTGGCAAGAAGAGTTAGAGGTTTTTTTTTTGACTATTTTAGCCATAAAAAATAAAATAGGCTATTTTAGTCACAAAAAACAAAACATCACATCCAATCCATAATCATTACACTATTCTCTCACAAAAAAAGTCAAAAAAGCCAAAAAGTCAAAAAAACTCTTCCCAAACCAAGCTTTTTAGCCTAGGCTAAAATAGCCAAAAAAGTCACAAAGTCAAAAAGTCAACCCACTTCCCAAACGAAGGCTTAGGTATAAAAAAGAAAGAAATTATGTGCGTGTTTAACTCTCATTTTGTTTTTTTGTTTCTAGGAAAATTATAAAAAAATAAAATAAAAAATCTCAAATTTAATTCTAGTAACAAATCAAATTCATGAGTTTTTTTCCTTACAAATTAAACTTTAATATGAAGAAAGAGATATAATTTCAACTATTAATTCGTGCTCAGTATAACATTTATGTCAATCTTTCATTTATAAAATTATTTTGAGATAATTTTAATTTCTACCTTAATCACACTAAATCATTATCCAATTTTATCGACATTCAAATTACTACTATTTAAATTTATTATACACTAGACTACACGATATCAACTCTATCATTCTCCTTCTTATTATTATTAATGGCACTGTCTTCTCTTTTCCCATCTCCTCTCCTTCCATTTACCGCCGCCTTATCCTCCACCGTCTATTCTCCATCCCCTTCCACTGCCTCCCCCCATTTCCCTTCCTCCGCCACTCTCCCTCACTTCCCGTTTCCCTAACTCATAATCCTTGTCGCTCCCATTCCCCTTTCCCTTCCTCTTCTACTTTTCTCTCCATCGCCCCTACCACTTTCCTCTTCCACTGACCTTTTCCCATTCCCCTTTCCCTTCCTCTTCTATTTTTCTCTCCATCGCCCCTATCACTTTCCTCTTCCACTGACCTTCTCCCGTTAGAGGGTTGACAGAAACGAAACCGATTTGATCTCCCTGAAGTAATGCTCAAAGAAAGGAAATAAGAAAGAACTATTACCTAATTGGACCAAAACGATATTTTTTTTTTTAAAATAAATAAATCAGGTCTACTTATTTTCCATGTTTAATTCGGTAACCAAACAATAATCATTTCATTCTTGCTCAAAATTATTCCTGCAAACGAAACACCAAGGCAGCATTTCAGTAACAGCACAAGTCATGTTTATACCTCATCATGCGGTGCTACAAAACCACAAGAAGAAACCCTGCTTCATATAATCCTATTGCATGACCAAACTGTAAAAATGAAGTTAGAAATTCACCCCAATATAAGTTTGATAGAGAAAAGCAACTACAATTCTGAAATTATTACATGCCTCACACAATTACTAAGTAGTAATGCTAAAAGCAAAACACCTACTGAATGGAGGGCCTGTTCCCAACATGTCTAACATATCCAACAGTATTTGCCAATATTCATGATATCAATAGTTCAAAATCTTTCACACTGGCTGATATTCAAAACCACGTTGCCTAGCGTTTTCGGCTGTGCCTCCTGCTCTTCCTCCGGCTGCTCCTGTCGTCAGAATCAGATTCTGACTCCAATTCCGAATCAGAAGACTCAGAAGTAGAGCTATGCCTCCGGTGCCTCCTCTTTCTCTGCTGCTGCTGCTGCTTCTTCTTCTTCCTCCTCCTCTCTTCCTCTGAATCAGTAGATGAGCTGTAGCTCGAATCACTCTCTGCCGAAGAATTATCAGATCCAGTAACAGACCCACTATCAGACTCAAAAACAGAAGCTTCACTGTCATTGCCAGACTCAGTGTCCAACCTATGCTTCCTTTTGCTTTTCTTTGTCCTCTTCTCTTTCTTTGGCTCCGTCGGAACATCTGGGTTATCCACATCATAAGAAATCGACAACTTCATCCTCAACTTTGGATTTTTAAGTTGCTGGGTACGAGATGGTCGTGAGATGTAAACGCGTTCGTTCTTGCATTCGTAAGTCCAATGCCCAGCTTGGAAACATTTCTGACATTGTGAAGCTGAGCCAGTCGTGGTAGACATCGATGGCTTGAGGTCTTTCCTTTCACCTAATCTCACTTGTTTCTCAGTACTCATCAAATACATCTGTCTCTTTGCTTCTTTTCTCTCCTGCCATCTACTGGGCCCTTCTTCCTTCTGCCCATATGCATTTACATTTCTGGCCGCAGCTGCAGCTGCTCGCTCAGCCTGAGCACGGCTAAGCCCCTTTGCTGCTGTCAAAGCAGCAGCCTTAATCCTTTCCGCTGCATCCTGACCACTTTTCTCTTCCTTCTTGCTTGATGACATCTTGTTAGTCGACAACTAGATCACGATATGCAGATGCTGCCACGCCTATATGCCTAGAAAACCCGTCTCAAAGTTGAAGTCAGTATCCTGGACACACAACAAAATGTTAGTCCAACACAAACGAATGAACTCTTCGTTCCCAACTGATAAGGTATAAAAGCATAAGAATGAAACTTCAAGAAAGTAGCTAATGTTAGGTATAATACTGTGGGTTAGGCAATTTCTAGATAGTTTTTTCTACTTTTTAGGGATATGGGTTCAGTCATTTGTAACTCTCATCCATAGAAACAACGTTTATGGAGGTCTGGTCCTCCTGAAGTCAACCAATTGGAGGTATACCTCCCTGGAAATGGGTTGTTCTTTTATTCATATTTCTTCTTCTTCTTTTTTTTTTTTTTTTTTTTTTTTTTTTTTTTTTTTTGGTTTTGATAAATTTTTTTTTTTTTTTTTTTGGGTTGACAAAAGGGTACTATCAAACTATACAAATGGTTAAAATTGAAGACAAATTTAGATCAAATGCACCACCAAACAAATTCAATCATCCACTTTGTCTTCATTCCTAATAACGAGATTATTAAAAATGAAAACGAAGAATGTAAAGGCCATTGGAAATTTAGGTTAAAATACCACAGGAAAATGAATCCACACTTAATTATTGATGAAATAAGAAAGCAAAAGCAAGGAACAAATGACAATCCAATTAAATAAAGCAACACACAAATATCTCCAAATCATCGGTCATAATCAAATTCTCAATTAATTTTTCTGGCAATACCACCACCAATTCAATCAAAGAATAAATAAATAAATTTGATCTAGTATCGAAACCCTAGATTCTGATCTTCTGCGACAACGAAAAAACCTAGCTTTGGAGGTAGTTGGCGTTTATAATCTGATCTTAATGATTTTGCAACGAAATTAAAAACAAAAAATGGATTTGGCAACAATAGGAACAACTCAGATGCACAACAAAAGCAAATACGCGTGTGCTTGTGCTTGTGCTTGTGCTTGTGTAGATAAACACCTCCAAAATTCAAATATTAAATGCGAAATCAAAAACTCATACGTACCAACTCAGATCCAGATGTAGAAGGCGGCGATGAGAGAGCACCAGCACCCCCCCGATATAAACCTCAGACTCACGGAGGCGGTGAGGCCTAGAATGACGTACTCCAACCCGGTCAAGATTTTTTAATTTTTAATTTTTTTTTTTTTTTTTGGGTTTTAAAATTAATTAATTAAGAAATCACTCAACTTTTTGAGAAGTACTTGGTGGTGTTTTGGGTTAAGGTTTTTTTTTGCCTTTTTTCTTTTGTCTTGTTTTCATTTTTGGTGAATTTTTGTAAATTTTTTTTTTTTAAATTTTTTAAATTTCTAAATTCAGTTCAATACGAATAGAAAAAATATAATTTTTTTAAAAAATTCGAAAGAACAAAAATATGACAAAATAACAATCTTTTTTTTTTACTTATTTTCGTTTTTAGTGATTTTTTTTTTTTAAATTTTCAAAAAAAATATACATTCATCTCAATAAGATAGACTAGAAAAATAAAAAATCTTGATAGAATTTAAAAAAAAAATCATTAAAGACAAAAAAAAAAGGGAAAATTGGTCTAGGGTCCCTCTCCCACTTTTCATAATGGAAGAGATCCACAAAATTAGACCTTAAAAAAAATACATCAGAAAAAGATGTGGCTTTTTTTTTTTTTTTGCCAAAATGGGCCAGAATAAACTAATTTTTTTATTTATTAGAAAAAGACATACAAAAATGCAAAATATATAAAAGTGATTTGATTTAAGTAAGATAAAAAATCAATAAACTAACTTATAAGTCACTTTCTAAAAGAGACTACTAATTAAATAATTCATATGATAATTAACTATTTTAATTAATTTATTTTATAAAAAAATACAGAAAATAAAGAAAATAATTAATTTTTTATAAAAAATAAAAATAAATAAATAAAATAATAATAAATTTTTAACTATTTTAAACCATAACATACATATTTTTATTATTGACTTTTGACTAAAATATAAATTAAAAAAATAATATATCTAGAAAGAAATTTTAACTTTTTTTTATAAAAAAAATGTAAAAAATAAAATAAATATTTCTATTAAAATATTTTTTGTCATGTTTAATTCATTTAAAAAATAATAATAAATTACATTACAAAATAAAATTTATCATTAACATACAAATTGCAAAAGGGAAGCATTCTATTCCAATTCATTTACATTATATTTTTTTATTATTTTTTAAATTAAATAAAATAATCATTTTAATTATGTTCATTCTCACATTTAGTTAAAAAAATAATAAAATATATTATAAATAAAATATTATTCACGATAATAAAATAAAATGATCATTATATATAAAGAATAATAATATCCATTCCATTCCATGTTCATTGCAATAAATCAAGCGCAGGACAAGAGGATCCCTTCCCATGAGAATCACTTCAAGAACACCCTTCCCATGAGAATACCCACTCTGAATGACACAATCAGCCAATCATATGTTGCCATAGTCATACATTGAACTCTATATATCAAATGATTAATATAATCAATAGTATATATGAAATGATTAATACAATCAATAGTAACTAAAGGGCGTACACAGTACATGAAATTTCCGCTTAAACGGAATCTGAAGGGTTGACGTACTACAAATGAAGACAGTCTGTTTTCGCAACTCAAACCCCGTGACCACCAGGTCACCAAGGATAGCTTTACCGCTACGCGAAGCCTGCCCTTCACCATCAATAGTAACTATGCTTCTAAAATTAGTGGCTGCCCGGAAGGTCCCTGTGCAATCAAAGCCAGTCGTTTTATGCATCACAACACACAATTATTAAATCATGCATGAAAATCGTGTTTTAAGGCCAAAGATTGCAAAAAGAGGCAAGATGGTGTGGTGAAAGAATGAAATTCCTTTCTGTTACAATTCTAGTGTCCTAGAGCAGATGATTTCGAATCATACTTCTTATTGACACCCATAAAGGAACCGTTAAAACACGTTCAACTTGAACCAACCAAAATTGCATTAAGAAATAAGAATAAAATCTGAAGTTGAGTAGCCAACCACTATAGATGCTCCTAAGATATGGAGTGCGTTCCTTTACAAAGCACAAAAAGAAGTCCTAGCAGGGTCATTGTTCAACAGAAACTAGACATTTCGCATATAGAATATACAGGAAAGCAACTAAATTCCCTGGCATCGCCCACCGTCACCTTAGAATATCCCTGCAAGAACATTCGCGGCAGTGGAGATTGCAGCACCAGTAGTAGCACTCTGCACAATCTGCTCAAGAGAAGAATTATCTGATGTAAGTGCCGGTGCCACGCCTGTAATTGCCCCTGCCACCACACTGTTTTTCTGAACCAAAAGAAAGCAACACGGTGTGAGGTAGTAGCCCTACCCAATCCAACTGTTACACAAGACGGCTCAAACTTAGCCCAATGAACCTTTGAGGCTTTTTGAATACAGGAAAGCCCTGTATGATATAAGGAAAAATCTTGGAAACTTGAAAAGTTAACTAAAAATTTAATGTGGTGTGCAAATCCAAATTTAGTGTGCTATGGGTCCACACACTTGATTCTTCGGCAACTTTTCGGGTTACCTGTTTTGGTCTAACCAACCACTTATATGCTGGCTTGAACACACCTTGTAACCCCAAAGGCTTTGCTCAGAGAGAGACAGATTTAAGAAAGCTCATCAGTATTCACAGAAAATTCATACAAAAACTCTACCAGAATAATGTGGTTTTGACATTCTTGAAATTATGTCACAAAGCATTAAATAAGGTCACCAAAGCGCGAAACCTGAGGCTCTGACTAGTTATTTGGATGCCATTGTAACTTTGTAAGGTGAGATGCGTAAAACTGTAAGCATAATGAAGACCATAAAAGAGAAGCTTATAAAAGATGGTAATTATTGGAATTCCTCAAACTTAAAATCAACACTTGCACTCAGTTGGACAAATTTTTATTTGTAATACATAAGGTGTGTCAAATTGTCGAAAACCCTTCCCCAAGTCTTATTCAAAAATCGAGTGTACATGGAGCCAGTTTGCTGAAATATTTACTCAGGGCTTTATTCAATTGGTAGATGGAAGATAAAAACATGGTAATGAGAAGTAACAAACCATGATTAGTAATATTACCCAATCATGAGTTCCACGGGCCTCTTTTAGCCCATAGGTGAGACCTGGTACATTCCAGCAGCCAGTCCTAGAGGATAAGAATATTTGTTAGCACCCTTCACTTTCATCATTTATATGGCACATAATAATCACAACTTGTGCAAGCACTGGTTAGTCAGCCACCTAAATCATGAATGGTGAACATGATTGCTAAATTGTCAAGTCAACAAAAAGACATGGTCAAGCCACTTCAGCTGATAGCAAGATTTGTTCGGATCTTCAATACAGACATCAAATGAGGAGGAAAAAGAGAGTCCAGTCAGTGCATAGACTTACCCCATTGTAGAGATTCTTTTCCGGTATTCTTCACCTGAAAGCATTGTTATGAGAAGCCAAAAGAATTAAAAATAAAACTGTGTATCAGAAATGCATAAATAAAAAATAAAACCAGGACTGACAATAAAATAACCTTTCACAGGGATCCTCTGTCTAAAATCTCAGGTCCCACTATCCCAAGGCCCCTCTCCACCGCATGATCAAGCCAGAGAGACCCATTGTGTGGTAAAGAGATGCTTTGCGATAGGTTAGATCCCAGACGAATTCACCTTTCACTAACACACGATAAAAACAAGCATTGGCATCCATTCTAAGTATCCATTCACTGTTCCAAGCACACGTCATGGTTCCAAAAGGCCTAGCGTTCTTTTTTAGGCTATTTATTTAAGAAAGAAAACTAGCACACTAGTTCGAATCTTACCAAGGCTTCAAGAGATATTCTGTTGGTTTCCCCTGCAAAGCATGTAAAGGAGCATAAAAAACACGGCGGAGGCAACCTCGGCCTAGCCGAGATCACCTCGGCGTCACGACCAGGACACGTGGCACCTCGGCTGACACATCGGCGTCACCTTGCCACGTGTTGGTACTCAGAAAATATATCCCCACAGTGTGCTATGATCTTTAAACAAGTATTCCATATCCATGCAAATGTCAAGTCCTTTAGAGAGAAAATCCTAGGTGATGATGCTGCTAGCTCCTGATGGAACAGGTCGGGTTGATCCACGCCTCCCAAACCGTTGTCCGATTGCTAGGCCTACGGAGAAACTTGTACAAGAGTTCAACGGGGAACGGGAGTCCCCCAGCGAACCCTCTGACGAGCAAGTTAGAGAAGAGAGAGTGATGGAATGTAGAGTTAGGATGGTGATGAAGAACTTAACCTTCTTTTTGTCTTAGAAGCCTGTTTATATCCTTTGCTTATCATTTCATTGTCCACTCCGACCTGTCATGTTGGCTGAAAGCCTATGTTTTAGCTTGCCTTGTTCATGGTGAAGTCGTTCTGCCTCGACGTGAAGGGGTTATCGCATTAAATGCTGCAGGGGAACTCATTAATGGCTGATGTGTGGTGCAATAACTCTGCAGGATATTTGTCTACCTACGTGGCTGGTTCTTCTGTTGGCAAGTGTTTAAGTATCATTGTTTCTTGGTGCAACGTTGGGTTCCAGCAATATTCGGCTGTAGTGTTTGAGTTATGCATTGGACTCTAAGTGGTGGACCAAAAGTCCCTATGGGCCCACCTATGTCAGTAGTCCCCCATTCCCAAGTACAGCTTCAGTCCAACGAAGGGAATAAGAAAGAAGACAGGGGTTGCGAGGGATCGATGGAGAGAAAAGCGACTATGAAGTGGGCCGACTGCAAAGGGTCGATTGCGAGGAGGGCCGACTGTGAAGGGCGACTGAGTGGGAAGATCGATTACAAGGAGGGCCGACCGTGAAGGGTGACCGAGTGGGAAGACCGACTGCGAGGAGGGCCGACCGTGAAGGGTGACCGAGTGAAAAGGGGAAATGGCGGCGCACGGGGGTCGAGGCGCGGTGTGACATGTGATGATGTGAAACGGAATAGACAGGGAAGGGAAAAAGAGTAATGGATCGTGGTCTTATACGTGGCACAATCCCGTAATAAGGGAAGTGATGCGTTAGTAGGGAATGAAGGGGGGGCCGACTGTGAAGGGCGACTGAGTGGGAAGATCGATTACAAGGAGGGCCGACTGTGAAGGGTGACCGAGTGGGAAGACCGACTGCGAGGAGGGCCGACCGTGAAGGGTGACCGAGTGAGAAGGGGAAATGGCGGCGCACGGGGGTCGAGGCGCGGTGTGACATGTGATGATGTGAAACGGAATAGACAGGGAAGGGAAAAAGAGTAGTGGATCGTGGTCTTATACGTGGCACAATCCCGTAATAAGGGAAGTGATGCGTTAGTAGGGAATGAAGGGGTAGGCTAATATAGGGCGTTGAAGAGCCGGGGGTGAAAATTTCAAACTGGAAAAATTTAATCTTGACCTTTGGAATATAGGCAAACTGTGGGCATTTGGAGTTATTCGCTTTACCTACCTTATCACAAAAAACCAACACATCCCTAAAGTGAACTCATTTGTTTCGTGTGACACGCATCTGCAACACTTTGCGAACTTCCTTATGCCAGCGTCCGAAGCAATACGTAGACACGTAGGAGAGATGGCCCGAGATGAAGTGCCAGCCGCAGGGCTTGACTTGTTAGGAGACAACGACGCGGTGGAGTTGGAGGAACAGTATCGAGTGGAGTGAAGAGAGGAGAGGGGAGCTGGTCAAGCGGTACAGGCTCGTTCGATGACGATGATCATAGCTGCTAAGCCAATCAGCTAAGTGAAGCCGGACCACTGGCATACTAAGGCCAACAAGTCCACGTTTACGGTAGAGAAGTTGGAGAAGGTACGAAGAAAGTACCAAATCCCCGCGGAGATAGAGCTGATGCTGGCCACATCGAAGGAGAGGGCGTCGGATGCACGGCCGACGGGGTTCACGCTGTACGAGGAGGCGTTGCGGGGGGGCTGAGGCTACCACTTCCCCAAGTAGTGGTGGACGTTCTTAACAAGTTGGAGGTGGCGCCAGGGCAGTTGATGCCGAACGTCTGGAAAATACTAATGGGGTGTGCGAGCGCCTGGCCACAGGCTACTGGAGGAGCGGAAATGACGGTGGAGGAATTCTTCTCTTGCTACAAGGCCTCAGGTCAACAGGAGACGTGGGTGACCTTGCAGGCAGTAGCGGGCCGGGGTTTAGTGGCAGGCTTGCCATCTTCGGTGAAGGGGTGGAGATCAGCGAACGGTAGGAGGGGAGTTCACACAACATAGAAAGTCCTCACAAAATCGGTGGGGCCAAAGTTAGATGTGCCAGCCGAAAATAGGGTGAAGAAGGTAAAGAAGTAGAGGGAGGAGAATGGGGTGAAGTGGGATCAGCTAATCCTTCCTTCAACCTTGTTTGCCTTGAGACTGGGACCGCAGCCAACAGAGGGGGATCCGGCGAGGGAGGAGTTGGAGGCACAGAGGAAGGCGGATGAGGTAGAGGATAAGAGATTGTTCGCCAAAGCAGACAAGTATAAAGAGACACAATTAGGGCCTGCCCCTAAACTGGTGATGAGGGAGCGGGTCTGACCGCATCCTAAACCGCTAGGCAACAAAGACTTAACTGGTTTTGCCCCACTACTGCCCCCAGTAGACCCGTTGAAGAAGAGGGGTAAGCAGGAGGTGGAGGCAGCGTTGAAGAAGTCAAGGAAGAAGAGGGTGGGTGTAGAGGGATGAAAAGACGCCCCTGTCTTCAAAAAGATGAAGGTTGGGGGCGATGATGCCTCTATGGTAGGGAAGATGAAGGAGGGAAGGGTGGAGGCAGCTGCAGAAGAGGCGAAGGAGATTGCCCGAGTAGTGAAGGAAGACAATGGTCCAAGTGCCCGAGTACTGAAAGAGCCCTTTGGCCCAAGTGCCCCTATGGTGTCGATGGTGGTACCTGCACCAGAAGTAACCTTAAGTCCCAGCGAAAGGAAGACTGAGGTCAGCAAGCTAAAGACGAGTGTCGCGCTAGTGACCGCGTTGTACCACACACGCGCGCTGGCAGGTCGCTCGGCAGATGAGGGGAAGCCAGGGTCGCAGCCGACCGTCTTGTTGGAATGGAGGAGGATGCGACCGTGCAGTCGATGGCGCGGTTGACGGAGGCCGACCTCCTGAGAGGGTTTTGCTCAGCCCAGATGAAGGCAGTGACCCTGGCGACTGCCTTGATGAATAAGGCAGCGCGCACTAAGTTGGAAGTGGAGCCGCTGAGGACCCAGTTGGCAGAGGTAAAATTGCAGTTGCAGAACCTAAGGGTTGAGACAACATGATGGAGGAAGGCTGCTCGGAGTGCATGCGCCAAGGGCGAAGAACATGGAGGTATTGGCGCTGGTGCAGAGCTACTTGGCGGAGCAAGCTAGTGCCAAGCTCCTCGCAACCAAATCAAAGCTGGAAGCAGAGCGCCACAAGGCGATATCGCTAGAGTTCGAGTTGGCGGGTGAGAAAAGGAAACTAGAGGAGGTTCAGCAAGCCTGCACCACTACCAACGAGAGGTGGGAGGAGGCAAAGACCAGCAATGAAGATCTGCGAGACCAGGCAGTCAAGGACAATGAAGAGGCCGATGGTCGGATCGCGGCATTGAAGAATGCCCTGGCAGAGGAGAGGACGAAATTGGCATCTAAGAGGGCGGAGTACCCCGACTTGTGTATGGCGGCCGTAGACCAATTCAAGGGGTCCACCGAATTTCAGATGGCCATAGATGCTACTGTCGCCAGTAGCTTGGCGAATGAGGGAAATTGGGGGGCTGGGCCGTCTGGAGCGGCCGCTGGAGGTAGGAGTGAAGAGAAAGTGATCCAGAGCTTCCAGCGATCTGATTTCTACAAGCATGAAATAAGCGAGTTCTGGGACAGCGGCTGGATGACCTTCAAGCATAAGGCGCATGAGCTGTTCCCAGACATGGACTTCAGCCTCGTGAAGGTAGATGAATACCACATCGCCCAGACCCCCTTGGACGAAGGCATTGAAGAAGAAGATCTGGTCTCCAGTGAAGAAGAGTGATTTGTGTAACAAAGTGTAAAAATTTTACTTTTGTTGTTTTTTTTTTTTTTATATGTAATTTCTGCAACGAATTGTATGAAAGCGTAAGTTTGTGAATAAAACAACGAGTTTTATTTTGTATTATTGTTGTCGTTATTTCTTTTGAGTTGTAAATTTGGAATAATGAAAATGGCTAAGCATAATTTGATGAAAAATGGGTGTGAAAGTAAGACTTGTGTGTGAATTGTGAAAGTTGCTAGTAAATTGTGATGTAAAAAGTTTAAAAATGGGCAACTAGGCTAACTTGTGAGAAAAGCATGATGTAAAAAATGTTAAAAAATGTTGTAATATGGACTTGGATTTTAACTAAGTATGGCAACCATGCCGTAATATTAAATTATGAAAATGGACTAGCTGAATTCTTCATTCGAGTTCTGACTAAGATTGGAAAGGCTCTACCATGTTGAAGTTTTAATCGACTCAGTCTGGCCGAGCTCTTCGTGCTCAGTCTAGATGAGGCTTCAATTAACTCAGTCTGGCTAAGCTCTTCGTTCTTAGTCTGGCTGAGGTTTCAATTAACTCAGTCTAGTTGAGCTCTTCGTACTCAGTCTGGCTGAGGCTACAATTAACTCAGTCTGGCTAACCTCTTCGTGCTCAGTCTGGCTGAGGCTTTAGTTATCAAGTCGTTATTGAAACACAACGTAGATAATGGAGATATAA